CCACCAGTCCCCCCCGTCAGGAAATTGATCAAGGTTGCACCATTGCATGTTGACTCCTCCCACTTCCAGGTTTGCTAAGTACCAGAAGGGCTGACTGGATTCTATCAGGCATTTTACATACAGCACCAGAGAAGCCCGGGAGGAGAGAGCGAAAAGTATGTGATGAAACGAGATGTCCTCAGTTACATCCACAGTGACTGGAGTAAAATGTGGGCCAAGAGAATGTGAGGTGGGGCACAAAATGTGTGTGGTTTTCACCTCCCATTTGGTAAAGCTATTAAAACTAATAAGGACATCATCTTAGATGGGAAATAAAAAGATAACATAAATAAATGAGAATTTATCATAAGAAAATATATTTCACAATTTTGATATGAGAATTTAATATAAATTACTTCCATCAGGATTGCTACCTATAGAAAAAAGTCAAATATGGGCAACATCAAGAAATTTGTACTTTTCAAATAATTCTCTGTGTGCACACACATGCTAAAGAGCATAAACGTGTTTTTTAATATACAAAATTATCATTTCTAGTCTTATTATTTCTATTTTATTTCCTCCCTTGCTTTGTAGGGATAAATTTTAATGTATTCTTAAGTGTAATCTTTGTTTTTTAAAATTGCAATTCTCAAAGAACTTCAAAAGCTGAAGGGTTTTCAGCAATCCAAATTTATTAACTATTTTGGTTAAAGATGTTCAGCTTATTTTGAAAAAAAAATGTAACCAAATTTTGGAAGAATCATTTACAAAATATGCAATACTATTGTAGGACATTTATGTTGATTTACAGAGTAGTGAAATAAGTTCAGGACATTTCTAAAGATTTGATTGATGCAGGGAAGCAAAAAGGAAAACGTTCTGCCATGATGAGGTTCTTTCTTTCTTTTTTATTGTTATTGAGTCAACATAGGCTTCCTCAGAAAAATAAATTCAGTTCAGTTATTCTATGTAAAAAACATCAGCAAATTCTGACAGAGGCTATTTTAACTAGTACACTATCGCAGCTTAAGTAAATAAAATTATACATGCTCCACCACTAATCTCAAGTACATTTCTGCTTCATAAATTTCTTAATTTGGTCAGAACACGCTTTGTGCCATGATGTTGTGCTCCAACAAAATTGATATTCATATTGTTACAATAAAAACAAATAATTTTATTTTCAGTGTAGAACTTCTTAATTGAGTAGCATTGAACATAATGTCAGACGTTCAACCTTTACAAAAAGCAACACAAAAGTCAGGATAACAGTGAAGCAATATTTTCAAAAATGTTTAGAAAAGAAGTATGAACCAAGGATTTTACATCCACTCAAGCCCTCCTTCAAGTATCAGGCCAACAGAAAAAGCTATTTTAAACACGTAAGAACTCAGGCAATATAATTTTCATAGATTATTTCTGAGGACGCTACTGAAGATAAGCTTCATCTGACCTTAAATTAACAATGACTGAAGGGGGCTGGCCCAGTGGCGTAGTGGTTAAGTTCTCATGCTGCTCGTTGGCTGCCTGGGGCGTGTGGATTCAAATCCTGGGTGCGGACCTACACATCGCTCATCAAGCCATGCTGTGGCAGCATCCCATATACAAAATAGAGGATGGGCACAGATGTTAGTGCAGGGCTAATCTTCCTCATCAAAAAGAGGAAGATTGGCAACGGATGTTAGCTCAGGGCTGATCTTCCTCACAAAAAAAAAAAAGAATGACTGAGGAGATTTCAGCCAAAAGACTGGCAGTAACCAATGAATACTTTTAATATATTTATTATAAATGAATAAATAAATTTAGATATTTTATAATTATACATTTATATATTAACATGTAATGTATATAACAAATATATTTAAATCATAACTAAATAATAAAGCTAGGCATAAGGCTGGAAGATTAGTATGTAAATGCTACATTTTCTGACAAAGCAGAAAAATCATAAATAAAATGAGAGGAAAAAGAAGGAAAAAAGAAAAGAGTAACAATCTCATTGATTGCCCTATAGGAAGTAATTAAAATTCAGTCAGTCAAATCTGACAAACTGAGTAGGAAAGCCTAAGTAAGAAAAAGAGGTAATTATATAAAGATATTAGTATGCAGGGAACCAATAGAACAAAAATGCAAACATTCCTAAATACCAAAACAAAGACAAAATTAAACAAAACAATACTAGGCTGATATCATTTGTTTATTTCAGTACCCTATTCAAATTTTGTTGTCTTTGTGGGTTTATATACATACATATATATACATATTTTTTATTCCTTCTCTACAATTTTAGTGGGATCTGAGGAGAAAGTGGAGATAAATGTAAATGTTCAATATGGCCTGACTAATCAAAATAATCAAGATCGTTTTTTAAGCCCTGAGAATGGACTTCCTGCTGTAGATAGGTAGCCAGATCAGGTCTGTACCTAATCCTACCTGGGACTCCAGACTCACAGCTGATCAGGAAGGAAGACGCCAATTGAGTGCTCATCGCTGGCTGCGCCATGTCTCGGGCCTGGGACAAGGAGTGTACCGTGCTACATTTACTGGTTACCTACTACCATCCAGCTTCCACAGGCCTTTCACTGCCTATAAGTTCGAGTCTCAAGTTCTTTGTCTAGTCAACCAATCCACCACAATCTGCATCTAATTTGGTTACTTAATCTAATCTTCTGTATGAAAAATTTATGCTATAATATTTAAAACTTTACCACTGGAAAGTTCAAATAGTTTAGTCTTCAGATTCCTGTGATACAGGAATAATAACACAGAAAAGCACATAAAGTATGAATGTACTGCTTTATGAATCATTATCAAGTGTACACTCACCACCTAAAGAAATGAAATATGCCAGTATCTTAGAAACATTCCCTTTTCCTATTTTTGCAGCAACAGGATTGAATACCCTTCAGTCATAGTATCTCCGTAGAGCATTTCAAAACAAAAATAGTTTTAATTTAGTGAGCACCTACTATGGACAAGACAATGTGCTAAGAGCTTTACACGTTATTTTGATGCTTTTAATAATAGAAACAATTACAGCGTCCACACAAAATTATTATTTACAATTTACAGAAGAGAACATTGAAGCCCAGAGAAATTTCCTGAGATGATTAAACTCTTTTAGCTACCACATTGCAGAGCTAGAATTTGAATCCTGGTCTGACTCCAAAGCTCCACACTTAACTACTCTATTGCACTGTTTTCTAACACAGGAAAAATCTCAAGATGCTGTGTACGTGTACGTGTGTGTTGAGGGGGAGGGGGCAGGAGCTGGATTTAAAGGCTATATAAATAATGCATGTCACCACCACAAAGTTTCTCAAACAGCTGATGGTAGTCAGCACTGGAGTGTGGGAATGGAGATGGAAGTGTGATTGGCAGTGGAGTGGAATGCACTGTCTCTGTACTTTAAAAAAAAAAAAAGATTTAATTTTATAGTTTATTATCATACCCAGAATAGAAACATGAACTTCCATGTACACTATGACTCCAATTCTTCAGGTTTTTGTTTTAACATTCATACCAATAAATGCCTAGGAAAAAGAACACTGGAAATAAATTTATCAAAGTTATTTTATTTATTCAGTACTTATTGCTGGGTGGTGAAATTACTGTTGACTTTGTTCTTAATATATTTTCGCATTTTCAAATTATCTACTATAAGCACTTATTTTCTAATTGTAAAACGCTATAGTTGGAAAAAAACTGACAATAAACATTAAAACCATTTAAAAGAGTTAGCTTACAAATAATCCTAGTGATGTTGCAGTGATGCTAGGATAGTCAGACAATGGATCTGGCCACAATCAAAACTTTCAAAACCTCTCCATCTCCCCATTTCTAATTGTGTAAGATTAATTCCTATGGACTATTCCTCGCATCCATGGGTGATGAAATTGTAAATTGGTACCATCTTTTCTTTTGGAAACAATTGGCAATATATATTTTTAAAATCTTAAAATTATTTTAAAAGGCTTATGTCCTTTACTCCAGTCCAGCCACTTCTCAACAATTATCCTGGGGGGAAATCTAAAATAAGAAAAACATACAATAGGTTGATTATTGAAGCCTATATCAACAGAGAAAGTTGGTCAGATTAAAGGAAGAATGGTTACAGTGCAGTTATTCAACAGAATACTTCATCATTCATAACGATGATTATGAAACAAAATACAAAAATGCTCATGTACGTTAAATGAAGGAGAATACAAAGTTGTATATAACTATGTTGGGATTATTACACACAAATTTAATACTTCTAGGTATAAAGATAGGAAAGGAGTATGGAAAAATGAGTAGTCTTTTTAATCAGGATGGGAGCACTGTGAGCCGTTCTTTCATTAGAGGACTTGGCATCACCACAAACCGGTTGTATGGCTTTTTATCTCTGCTTAGGAACGACTGATATTACCATTTTAAGACTGAGCAGCATACCTGTTACCAAGAAGCGTTTCCTTTCATTTCAAATGCCCCAAGTTTGGGAAACATACCATTGGAACTAGTGCTGTTTGCACGTGCCCGTTAGTGTATCACTAGTTTTTTTTTTTTCCCCACTACAGTTTTTATAATGCACCTTATGAAATCTTACTAGAGGTTCCAGGATTGGAGAATTAAGTATTGACAAACTGATTAAACGGAAGCTAACATGAAATAGTAATAATTATCCCAGGGTCTTAACAGCAATAGTGACCATTTCTAGCACCATATTTGATCAATACCTTTCTTTGATATTTTCAAGCGCTGTATTTTCAAAATGATTTGACTGCAATTACTCAGTTATTAAAATTGCTCCGATGCCTACATTTCTTCAGCGTTCCGGAGATCAAGACAGCGGAGACACACGCGGAGATTCGCCCACCACTCCTCTCCTCATTTACTAAGCAACCGCGTTCCATGCAGAGGATTCGGAAATACTGTACGATTCTACACTTACTCTCAAGCAGCTAGGGGACAAACGTATCAACAATGCTGTGTAACTAGAGTCTCAAAAGTAAGAAGGACGCTGGGCTGCGGGGGCCGAGCGGGCAGGGCGGCCACTTCGCGGCGCGAGATGCCCACAGCCGATAAGGAGTGATGAAATCTGGAAGGGTCGTCCCTCCCTAGGACGCCGGCGTGCTCTGCCTTGAAGGTTTCTCGTCTACGGATACCGCCGCTCCTTCACCGACCCCCGCCGCCACCCGCTGGAGCCGGACCTACAGCGGATACGAGTAGAGTATCCGCCCTCCCGCCGCTTCCTCCGCCTCTTCCCATCTTCTCTGCGCCTGCGCGACCGGAACATTCGCGAAGGTTCCTGAAGCGGAACCGGCGATTTCCGGAAGCCGGCAGCCGCCCCAGCCGGCAGACCGGTGGTTGCGACAGGGGAGTTGTAAGGAGCTCTTTTGCGGTTCCCGTTGTCTGGGTTGGACCGGTAACGGTGGGACAAGAAAATGGCCTTGCTGTGCTACAACCGGGGCTGCGGTCAGCGCTTCGATCCCGAGACCAATTCCGATGGTAAGAGAGCCGCGCCGCCAGCCCTGCTCCCGGTCCACCTCCCCCGGGGGACGCCCTTGGGCCCGAGGCCTCCCCGGGGTCCTCCCGCGAGCCGTCGCCGCGCTGCCCGGGTCGGGGTCCACCCCCGGCCGCCCTCGCAGCCGGCAGCCGCCTCCTGTGTGCGGGGCCGCTCGGCGGGCGCCCCGGCGGCGGCGGCAGCCGACCCCCTCCCTCTGCGGCCGCCGAACCGACCCCCTCCGCCCCTGGTCGCACGTGTTTCCGCGGTCGCCCACTCACTGGCCGTTTCGCCGGGAATTGAGAACATCTTTATCTCCTCCCCGGGTCTCTTTGCAAAGCGACCGCTACCCGCGTGCTACTGCGCTCGCTTTGCGGTGGATTTGCTGTGAGTGTGAGTGTGTGCGCGAGACAGACGCACAGAGACCGAGACACAGGCAGAGACGGGACACTTGGGCAGTGGGTCCGTTATCCTAGCGTTTAAGTTTAGAACTTAATTTTTATGAAAGCCTGCTGTCAGCTCGTTCAGTCGACCCACTGTTAATAAACCTACTTTTTCAAAAAGTGTTCTTGGTTAGGAAAATTATTCTAGGTCTTTACGCTGTTGTGATACAGCCGCCCGGGTGGGTGGTAGATTCGTTATCCTTGACTCAGTAGCCGTGTTTGTTGCATATTTTTGCTACGGCCTTCCCGTTTTAATACCATGCCACCTTCAGGATAAAGTGATTGACTGTCCTCTGCAGCACCTAGGTGTAGAGTTAAGGGTGTAAAGCGAAAGGTAGTGAATAGACTAGGTGAGTAATAGAAAATCACCAATGAATTGGAATTTTGATTGGTGAATGCGATAAACAAGTGAGTTGATTCCTTGAGTACTGTGGAAAGTGACAACATTTTCTCAGATTCAGCTAGCATTTATTGTGTGTTTTCTGTATGCCAGACGTTGGTCTATCGCTTTATTCCATTGTCTCATTTAACCTTCACAACCCTCTAAAGTATGCATTATTAGACCCATTTAATAGAGAAGCCGAGTTCAGCATGGTTCTACGTTGTGAAGGAGATTAAAATCGACGGCTTTTAAAATCTTTTTCACCTCTGAGATGTCTGAAATATTTATCTTGGAGCGCACATGACTTGGTGACCATTGGCAGGATTCTAAGGAAAAGATAAATCCAGTCTTTGTACAATACTCAAGTTACTGTCATTGACATTTTTATCATATTAATATGAAGTTATTTAAGGGGAAAATTGTGAGACTTCAGTGGGTCACAGAATCGAGGAATGAGGGGTTTTAAGTCCTTTCCTGTTGGTAGTCTATATGAAAAGTGAATTGCCTTAGTGCCTGTACGTATTCTACTTTATTAAATAAAGGGGAAAGACTGGTGGTTTGTTGCATGGAACAGTATGTTTATTTATAGGGTGTTATATACCAGCCTAAAATTAAGAGGAGATACAGCCACTTTTGGGAAGTCAACTGTGTCTGTGTGAAGTGGTGCAGTGCCTAGGGAGAGAGTTAGGGAGCGGGGAGGCCAGGAAAGCCAGAGGAGTAGACAGTCTGGAGGATCGTGTGGTCAGCAGTACCAGACTCAGCAGGGAGCTCCAATAAGGTTGTTGAAAGTTTATTTGCTTTACTAAAATAAGTCTCTAAACTAGTTTAGAGACTTAAAGAAATACTCCAAGTAAGTTGGTTGATAAAATGGGAAGTTAAGAAAATGGACACAGGGAGTAGAAGACAAGAACTGGCAGCAACCTGTGGGCCTGGTTAGGAGAAAGTTTTATAGAATGGAAAAAGTTCCGCCTGTGTATTGACTAAAATAACAAGACCCCCTTCTAAGCTGATGTGACATTTTACTTTGGTGTTTAAAGGAAACAAGGTTGGTAATTTGCATATGTTAAACAGTTATTCTGGAAAAAGCACCACTTCACAAACAGTTGCCAAGAGGCAGAGCCAGAATTTGAGCCAGGGACTCAGTGTTAACAGCCCTTGGTTTTTTTTTTAATGAATTAAGATGCTTTTTTTTTTTTTTTGAGGAAGATTGGCCCTGAGCTAACATCAGTTGCCAATCTTCCTCTTTTTTTTTTTGTTTTTTTTTGCTGAGAAAGACTAGCTGTGAGCTAACTTCGGTGCCCATCTTCCTCTGTTTCGTGTGTGGGACCTCGCCATGGCATGGCTTGATGAGCAGCGCATAGGTCTGCACCCAGGATCCAACTCAAGAACCCTGGGCCATGAAGTGGAACATGCGAACTTAACCACTATACCACCGGGCCAGCCCCTATTATCTGATTTCTTTAACGTAATACTCCATGTTTCAAACCGTAATAAGCACATTTTCATAAGTGTTAAGTAAAAATTAATGGTGTAATGGAGAGGTGGTAGGGAAATACAGAATAGTGATCAGTGACAACCCTGAAAATAGACTGTAGAACTTAAACTGCTTTTTAATGAGATTTGTATCTAGGAATTGCCCCTATCTAGGAAAGTTAAATTAGCAATTAGATATTATATCAGTTTTTATAATTTTGAACCTATTCTTCCAAAATATCTTTAGGGAATCTCTTGGGCAACCTTTATGGATTAGTGTATATAAGAACACCTAAGTTTGATAGTATTTTTGTAAAAACAGAATTGAAAGATGATGGTCAAAATCTTGGAGCTTGATGTTTTGGTACTAAACAAATTTTACTACAAAGGTTAGAGGAATACAGAATATAATTGGTTATACTTGAACTATTCTGTATTATTTTTATCTATATTTATCATACTCTTGAATTAGAATTTTAACTATTACTATTTTAATACAATGTTTTATATTAAGCACTGTGTGCCATTCATCAAACTTGAGCATTAGTGAATTTTTAAGGAAAAGAAAAGGATTACCTGCATTTGGAAAAAGGGTTGAATGTTAACCCTTGAAGGCAGTAATGATTTTTCTTCATTATAAAGTGATATATTTTTTCCTTCTGTTTTTGACCAGATGCTTGTACATACCACCCAGGTGTTCCAGTCTTTCATGATGCGTTAAAGGTAGGAACTTGATATATTTCAGTCTCTTGGTATTTATATAGTAAATTTAGAGGTGTAATACTACATCTTTTTCTCATCTTTTTTCCTCAGCTTGTGACTTTCTGCTTTTTTAGTGACCTTTTTGGGGTGCCTTAAGCAAGTACGCCGCTAAAGCCAGAGAAGACAGTGAATAGTAGATGGTGATCTTAAGGTCTTTTCCAGTTATAAAATTATGTTGTTTCTATTCCAACTCTTGTCTTCTATACCCCGCATTTCTTCACTCTCCTAATTTTGAGAGGAAATAAAAGCAGTTGCATTGACTCTTAATCTCTCAGTGTGTCAGGCGCTGCTGTCTAAAAAGAGCAGCTCTGAATTTTAGGAAGGATTGTTATAAACACCTAACAGTGCCAATCTTAGGGACAGACGTGTAAGGTTGGAGTAAAACTCTAAACAAAAAAGGGATGCCACCTGTTTTCCACTTGTACTTCCTTGATGTTCGGGAGAATTAAAGGAATAATAGAATGTTGTTTGACCAAGTTTTTCTTGGTGAGCTTATTGATCTTTTAAAATTTATGATAATATGGTACATTTTCCATTGTATATCTTAAAAGAAAATGTTGCAGTGTGGCTGCCATGGCTTTCAGCGTTGCTGCTTTTGTTCTTAGGAACTTAAACAGTTTTACGTGTGTAAATATTGTTGATGCTCCTTGAATTTCTCATTACACCTTCCAGGGAGTAGTTGGGCCTTTTTGGTAGTTAACTGTTAGATAGCCTAATGGAAACAAAGACACACAAGCAGATATCAAGTTTATATTAATCTGGTTAGTTCTAAGTGAAGAAAACAGAACAAACATTCAGTATGGTAAGTTGAGACCTGACTCCTCCTCACATCTTTTATCCTCTTTACCAACTTTTACGGGGATGGAAGCTGTAGTTCAGTGGGAATGTTTATTTTTGTGAGGGGTGGGGGATTTTATTTTTCCTAGACTGCCATTTATTCTGTGTATTTTTCTTATTGTATGTTTTTATTTTTTGTTTCCTCTGATGTTTTCCTCCTGTCTCCTAACCATAGGCATACTTCACTTCTCAGTCTTTGGCTTCCTGTTTTCTCTCATTCAGTTCATTCATCGCTGTCCTTAAATGTCACCTCTATGCCAGTGGCCTCTACAACATATTTCTATTTATGTGTGTCATTGGCAACTGCAAACCAGTTTCCAAAGTGAACTTTTATTCCAAAAATAGCCTGCTTCTCAACTTCGTTGCTGCTCGTAATATCATTGACTTTCTAGTCATTCAGTCCATTGCTCTTTTATTTTCCTACCCAACTGTTAATCACCCTGATTAATTAATCTTAATGATTTTACTTTGAAGTATTTTTGTTTCTCTCTCCTCTCCAATCCCTGTTTATTATTGTCTCTGTAAACCTTTCAGCTTTCTAAGACTACTAGATTTCACAGCCCAGTAGATTTCAGACAAAATATGGAAATGAATATAGTGTCCACTGTTGCCAGGTTTCTATTTTAATATTCAAATTAGAAGAGGCATATTCAGAGAGAGGAAGATCTCTTTTAGGAAAAGACAGCAGCCTTATACTCACATACTTAAATTTATCCTTCCTTTTCTCATTTTGCTGAGGACTACCATAGATCCCTGATTGACATTTGGGTACAACTAGTGTATATCCTGTATCTATCCCTGTGTCCCCAGAATACCTGATATAACTCTTCATATATGATTTAGGCAATAAAATTTTTTCTCGTATAGAATAATTTTTCTGATGACTATATTATCAATACTAATTAAACTCTATATTTAAGGTTGTAGTAATTTTTCATCTATATCTCAATTCAATTCAATTCAATTTCAAAATAAAGGGAAATTTCAATTATAGCATATTTAACATTTTCTTTTAAAAAAAACTGTATAATGCCTATTTTGGGAAAAAATCACCAAATTTTTCCTACAGTATGTTGAGAAAAATAGGGAGGCACAGATGAATATGTGCAAAGGTAGCCGTTAGTCTGAATTTGAGACACCCCAAGTCTTGACACTGCTGCATTTTTATTTCCTTATTCTGTATACTACAGTGAAATTGTAGGTGGCGACTTAAAGCTGTTTTTTGGTAAGCCACTTGGTAGTTTGTTCAGAAATCACATACTGCATTACAGTTTCTATTTTTTTATGCCTTTCACGGAAAAGATCATTTAACCTTCAAAGATCTGACAGTGATTAGGCTGCTACGTTAATCTGTGTTGTTCTGAAAATGGATAGAGTGCTTATTGTTGGGGAACAGCTACAATGAATCTGTTTAGAAACTGCATTATTATAATTATTAACTCTAACTTACTAGATTTTTAAAATAGGGCATTTCACTTACTCCCTAGATCCTTTAAAATATATGATGTTTTTAGAAATTATAAAATGTTTTTCTTCTAAAGCTCAAGTAATATTCTTGAAAACAGAAGCAATTTGTTTCCTTATTTTAAGGTGCTTCCTTTCATGATAAATCACAACACAAATCTCTTGTAACATTGGTTAATTCGTTTTCTTTTAAATCAAAAACTAAAAATCATTTCACTTGGTTAGATAAATCATTTATAACACTTGAAAATTGTGAAATCTGTATGTATGCAAGTTACTTCCAGATTGGAGGAGATATGTGCAAGTAGAGTGTTTTAGTGGATTGTGGTTCTCATGGTTTTCAGTTTTTTTCACTTATGTTTTATAGGGCTGGTCTTGCTGTAAGAGAAGAACAACTGATTTTTCTGATTTTTTAAGCATTGTGGTAAGTATTAATTGTTTTTTCTAGATTATCTCCTGAAAAGTACATATTATAGGAAGCTCCAGATTTGAGGAGTCTGATTTGGGACGTCTATTGACTAGTCCCTGTTAACTTGCAGATAGTACCTTTCTTTTAAAGTGGAGCTCACCTCCCTTCTGCAGCCTTTAAAATAAGGAATTTATCTATCTGCTTTAGAAGTTAAAGTTTCAAGATATTAGTTACTCACTTGTCGATTGAAGTTTGTTCTTGATGTTAGTAGTTTTAAAAGAATATCAAGAAGAATAAAGTGGTAGGCAACAATTTAAAGCATTTTCAGTTAGGAACAGTAAATTTTTATCAAATCTAAGCTACCATTGAGATACACCATTATTTTGTATACTCTTAAGAAAGAAAACTAAAGCTGTTAATTAAATGATATGGCATTGATCTTATGATCTCAGGGATGTTAAAATATATATATGACTCAACGGAATGTGGAAAAGGTAGCCAGCATTTATTGAATGTTTACCAAATGCCAGATGTTCCAAGCATTCTATTTTATTTAATCCTCTCAAAAAATATCTTAAGTGCCATTACTGTCATTTTACTGATGAAATGAGGTATAACAGGTTAATTAATTTGCTCAAGGTCATATTTATGCTCAAGGTCATATAGCTATTAAGTAGGAGAACTGGGTCTCAAACTGAGGCCCTTTTGTATAAATAATTTGTAGAATTCTCTTTATGAGATCTCCAGAATTTGTTTCCTGTAAACAGGAAGTTTATGCCATATGTTTAATAGAATAAGTTAAGTAGATATTTATGAAGTATAATTCGAAGGCTTTTTTTAAAATGCATTATTCAGATGTAAGGACTCATTTACAAATACAGCAAATTTGAAGTCCTATTTTTAGTTTCTTAAAATAAGTCAGTCTGATAAAAGTAGAGAAAACATACAGTAGAATTTATTAATAAAGAATTGAAAAATAGTATTTCTATTGTGGCATGTGAAATAGAGTTTGATAGGATAACTCTTAATGATTACCTTTCACTAACAGGGCTGTACAAAAGGTAGGCATAATAGTGAGAAACCACCCGAGCCAGTCAAACCGGAAGTCAAGACTACTGAGAAGAAAGAACTGTCTGAATTGAAACCCAAATTTCAGGAGCACATCATTCAAGCCCCTAAACCAGTAGAAGCAATAAAAAGGCCCAGGTACACTTTATCCAGCTGCATGTTTTTGTCCTGCTTGAATAATAGCATTTGTTCCTGGTATTTCCTTTTATGATTTTGCCTAATACCATTTGTAGCCATCGTATAGGTCAGCAACTTTTGAACCATTTGGTTTTCCCTTAGATATACCTTTCATTTTTATTCCCCCTTAATTTGAGGGTGTATACACATAAAACTTTGTTGCAGATTTGCTCACTGTACCATCATAATTATGCCCTGGCGGGGGAGGGGGGGGCACCTGTCTTCTTTGTTCCTTGGCATGTGTCTGTTTCACTGTGGCGTGGTGAAATTCTATAAAGGAATTGTAGAATTGTCAGGGCATTCCTTGTCAGGGAATCAGTTTAGTTGAAAAAGAACTTAGCGGCCTTCTCTTCCATTCTTCTACTGTTTCTTGAATATTTTCTGGGACGTTCTTGACAGAATAGTTTCCTTTCAAATAATTCTAGTGAAGAAGAATTTACTTTTACTTCAAAGCAGTGCATTTTTTTCTTACTAAGTCAGTGTATAATTTTCCCTTCCATTGAGCCAGATTTTCTCTTTTTTATTTATCTGTATTTCGTCACTTAGAACAAGTCTAGTTACTCATCTTTGACTTTCTGATACGTGGAAACTGTTAATCTCATTATTATTGATAAGTTTTAATGTATTTGATTTAGATGGCAGATCTGTTAAAGTACTTTTAAAAATCTTTTGCTCATTTTGTAGTTGAATTATACAGTCTTCATACTCATCTTCTGGTCGAGTAGACTGCATTTTACATTCCCACATATGCATGTTGGGTACCATTGTTACGCTAGGTCGTCTTCATGTTGCACTTGAGTATTGAATTTTTTTAGAACCAAAATACAGGACATAAAAAACGGAGGGTTTTTGGCCTCAAATATGGCCCCCATTGATATTTTTATTCACACTATAGGACTCATGGTTTTCCCAACTTTTTCTTTAACAATCTTACTTAAATAAATTTATAGCATATTAAATAATACTGGATGAAGATAAGAACCCTAAGACCTAAGAGACTTTTTGATGTTTATTTGTTCTTTTAACCAAACTACTTAGAATGATTTTATTCCACCTCCATCTTATTCATAATCATGAGAGACTATCAAATGCCTTGCTGGCTGATTTGCCAGTTAAAAAAATAGAAAAAGACAGGAATTCTGGTATAGCTCATTATTAAATATTGCAGTGGAGTCTACTATAATTGACAGTATGAGTTAATATTTTCCTTAAATAATGGATAACTAATAATTTTACTTAAGAGGAAGTGAGAAATTAAATATTTTCTCCTAAATTCATTTGGTAGTATTGTAGACATTATGAGGATACAGGTTTTTATGTACTTTGTTAATGCCTCTTACATTAGTAGTTTTTTTCATTAAGGATATAGAATGAATAACCTAGGATTTCTGTTTTTATTGCTGCATTTATTAATATTCTTAATACTTATCGAATGGCCTTAAACAAGTTGTACATACAACACTTAACCATTGTAAAATGTTAGGGAGTAGTGGTATTGTTTTTTGTAACCCTACTAAAATTGCCTTGTGATACAATTGTATCTGAATTTATAGGTGCATACACCAGTGTCCACACAAAATGAATTATCTGCACCAGTAGGAATATGGATTTACTTAGTACATATTTATTGCCTGTTTATTATATGCTCAGCATTTTGCTTAAGCATGGAATGTAAAAGTACTTCATGGTCACTTCCTTGGAGTTACTCATCTTGACAAACTGGATTCTTAGTCTTTACTTCCTTCCCATTAGCCCTACTGATTAATAATTTAATGTGTTGGCAATAGCATGATTGAGATTTAATGTTTTAATATCAGAACCTTTCTTTTAAAACTTAGAAATGTAGATATATTATAGCAGTTAATCATAAAATACTTTTTAATGGGAAAAACTTGATTCACAAGGCATTTGGTTTCTTTTCATAAATAGGCTCTTAAGTGTTTATTTTTAGTATAAAGAAATATTTTGGTACATCAGTAATGGTAATAAAGTTTCAAAATTCTCCAGCCCAGATGAACCAATGACGAATTTGGAATTAAAAATATCTGCTTCCCTAAAACAAGCACTTGATAAACTTAAACTGTCATCGGGGAATGAAGAAAATAAGAAAGGTAAGATTTTGTTTTGTATTTTGTAATTTTTTCTGTATAGTTAACCAGTTATCGAGAAGAGACAGGAGCGGTATAGTTTACTGAATATAAATATGAAGAAGTAGCACATTGTAGTAAAGAACTTATTTTTGTTTTCTAAATGCCAATAATACCACAGAATGAATATGTGGTTCATTCCATTATGTCTTTATTAGAAATCAGAACCTGCTAATTAGAAATTTTTTTTCTTCTGTGATTTGTTACTTTTTAACAGTGAGTTAAATTTCCTTGATAATTGTAAATGTTTCATTGTGCATGATATAAAATATATTCAGTATTCTCTCACCCTGTACCTGATGCCATGGGAGTACCCTTTCGTGATTTCTCTGTTACAAGGTTAAGATATTGGATATAGTATCGCATTATAGAATAGAAATGTGTCATATATCATTTGGGGGATATAAGCAAAACCTAATTATAATAGTTTTCTTCTTTTTTTTTTTGTGAGGAAGATCAGCCCTGAGCTGACATCCATGCTAATCCTCCTCTTTTTGCTTGAGGAAGACCGGCTCTGAGCTAACATCTTATTGCCATTCCTCCTCCTTTTCTTTCCCCAAAGCCCCAGTAGATAATTGTATGTCATAGCTGCACATCCTTCTAGTTGCTGTGTGTTGGACGCGGCCTCAGCATGGCCGGAGAAGCGGTGCGTCGGTGCGCGCCCGGGATCCGAACCCGGGCCGCCAGTAGCGGAGCGCGAGCACTTAACCACTAAGCCACAGGGCCGGCCCCTATAATAGTTTTCTTACTAGCTTTTTTAATATATTATATGAGAGGTCACACAGAAAACTTAGTTACTTAAAATTACTTTAAAATATCAGTGTTTTTTGTACTTAGATTATTTTCTTAAATAGTTGTTTTACGGAAAAGGTTACTTCTGACACTACGGTAAAGTGTTCTATTTTAATATTTCTAATTTGTTTTTTTTTTCTCTGTTTCAGAAGAAGACAGTGATGAAATTAAGATTGGGACCTCATGTAAAAATGGAGGGTGTTCAAAGGTATATATTGTAAAATTTATGGTGTCATGGAAGTAAAATTTTAATTTTGAAAGAGAATGCAATTTACTGACTCAATTCAACAAACATTTGGGTGCCTGTCATGTGTTGGGCACTATGCTATGGACCAGGGTTATGAACGTGGATAAGAGAGGAGCACCATTTCTGATAGAGTCATGAACATAAGTAATTCTAATTCAGTCAGCGTTTACTGAGCACTTACTATGTGCCATACGTTGTTTTAGGGACTAGGGATATAGTATTAAATAAAACAGAAGTTTTTTTTTTCTGGAGCTAATAGTCTAGTTTGGGGAGAAGAACAACAAATCGGTAATTAAGTATTATGAATTAAGGTAGATGTGAGGAAAATAAAACAGATAAGGAGATAGAATGAAACTTTAAATACGATTGTCAGGGAAATCCTCTTTGAAGTGGTGACACAAGTCAGAAATCTGAGTAATGTAGCGGATGAGTCCTGTAAACCTTGGACTAGACATGGGAGGAGTATGTGTAGAGGTTTTAGAGGTTGACTATTCAAGGAATTATGAGAAAAGTCAGTGGGGCTTGCTCAAGGGTGTGAAAGTAGAGGGTAAGAGAGGTAGGCAAGATTATGGAGGTCCTTATAAGCTTCAGTGAGGAGTTTGGGCTTTAAGTATAATGGGAAGCCACTATCTGTTTTAAGGAGGCGTTTTGAAAAGATGCTTTCTGCTTGATAAGTGGCAAATACATTATAATGGGGCAGGAGTAGAATTGGAAGAGGGAGAACCAGCTAGGATGCTATTGTGGAAGACCAGGCAGTGGGATTGGAGATTATGTTTTTGAGAAGTGGGCAAATGTGGGATGTAATTAAATATCTCAGTGAGGCTTTTTCCTACCTACTTGGTGTGAAATTGCATGCCCTCCAATATTTCCACTCCCGCCTTTTTTTTCCATAGCACTTATCACCTTACAATATACTGTTTATTTTGCGTATTTATTTTGCTTATGATCTGTCCCATCTAACTCCCCTTCCCTTCCTCCCCTTATGTAGGGTTGCAAGGAAAGAATTTTATTTGTTTTGTTTTTTGCTGTATCTTGAATGCTTAGAGCAGTGCCTGGCATGTGGCATGTGTAGAATGAATGATATTTGAAAGTATTAACAGGGCTTGCTAAAGAACTGTAGATGAAGGGGACTTGTGGCTCCAGCAGCTAGGTGATTGGTGACACCATTAAGGAGAAGATGGGGTTGGGGGAGCAGGTTTGTAGTTTTCCCTCATGTTAAGTTTGAGATTGCCTTGCTCATTTAGGGATGGAAATATAAATGTATTCTCATGTGCTTAAGGTGAAAGTAGTAAATGAGAATGATTAATCCGTGGAGTGGGGGAGAACAGTGCAAGTGGTAGGGTAGTGGAGGAAGATCAGAGAGAAGGTACTCCAGATGAATTTAGAAAAATGAATGACAGTTCTGTAAATGGACAAAAAGGGAAAGGATATTCCAAGCAGAGGTGATAGTAGCAGTAGTATACAGAAAACAATAAATAGTCAATAATAATGACAGAATTTGCTGGTGTGCAGTTGAGATTAAAAGAGATAAGTAGGAGTCAGATCCTGAAAGCCTTTTATAATGTTCAAAGGTTAGACCTTACTTTAGGTTATGGAGGCCATTAAAGAAAATTTTTAGTCTTTTTCTTTAAAATGTAACATTAAAAATACCCAAATATAAGTTTATAGCTAAAGAGATTTTCACAGAGCATAGCCCTCCTTATGCCTCCTCTTGTTCATCATTCCGTTTCCCAAAGGTAACCACATTTTTCTATCAGCATAGATTGGTTAGTCCTACTCTAGAAGTTAATGGAAATAGAATCTTTGAATAGGCACTCTTGTGTCTGCCTTTGCTTAATAAAATGCTTGAGTTATCCTTGTTGCATGTGGCTATAGTTTGTTCATTTTCATTGCTTTAAAATATGTCATTGTTTGAATGTGCCAATCAATTTATCCTTTCTACTTTCCTTTAAATTTTTTTAATTGCTACTGTGAACACTTCTGTGCATGACTTAGGTATATGACTAGGAGAGGAATTGCTGGATCATAGTGTATGTATATGTTCATCTTTAACAGATAACTTGCACATAGTTTTCCAAAGTGACTGTCTTTACACTCCCAGCAGCAGTATATGAGGCTGGTTCCATTTGTTCTACACCTTGGTAGTAGTTTGTAATATTAGTCTTTTATATTTTATAAGTCATTGTGATGGGTGTGTAGTGTTCTGATTTTAATTTGTACTCTCCTGATGATGAGGTTGAGTACCTTTTTGTATGTTTATTGGCTATTTGGATATCCTCTTTTGTGAAATGTCCAAAATCTTTTACCTATTTTTCTATTAAGTTGGCTTTTTCTTATTAATTTTAGGAATTCTTTATATTTTTTAGCTACAAGTCCTTTGTGAGAGAGAGAGAGACTATACTTTTTCACTGTCTTAATAATGGCTTTTGATAAACAGAGACTCTAATTTTAATGAAATCCAATTTGTCCATCTTTTACTTTATAACTAGTGCTTTCTGTGTCCTATTTAAGAAATCTGCTTACTTCAGGGCCATGATTATTTTCTCATATATGGAGGCACATTTAAGTGGACAAACCATCTGGAACTGATTATTGTTTAAAGTGTAAGGTAGGTTTAATAAAAGACTTTAAATAAGAGAGTGATACATGTTTTAATTAGATAGTAGAGTACAGAAATTGAAGGCAGAGAAATGAATTAGAAGCTGTTAGTGTAGTCTCATTGCCTAAAATCTGCTAGTGATCATGAGGAAGGTTAGCAAATTAAACTGATAGATATTTTTAAGTCAAATAGACAGGATTTCATGATAGACTACATATGGGTTGAGGGAGAGAAGAAATTGAAGAGGACTTAGAGAATTGTGCTTTAGGAGACTGAGTAGATATGGTTCCATCACATAAGATGGGAAGAAGTGTAGGCGGTTTGGGGGACAATAGTGATAAGTTCAGAATCGAACATACTGGGTTTCATGTGCTATGGAATATCCTTAGGCGATACACACTCCTAGTACTTTGGATTTACAAAAAGTAAACATCCAGAATTTTATTTTCTACACTTGTAGGTGGTTGCTATAAATACCAAAATAGAAAATATACTACTGGCTGCATCTATGTTTTGTTAACATAACTTTTTGTGAATTCATCTGTAGAGCCTTCACCTACAGCAGCAATGGGGCCCGGATCTTCCAGACAAACCCTGGATATATATATAGGTCTGCAGCTCATTTTACCCTTCCTAGGGATAAGAAATCACTATAGAGCTTCCAGAATTGCTTGTTATTAGATTTTCCATATTAATTCATAATGCCCACACAGAGTTTACTGTACACATAAATCATTCTATAACTATATTTCTGTTGAGAGTACTAATCAGTATTGTTCTGTAAATTTAAATACCTGAATATGCTTGGATGTGACCTCATACCCAAAAGTCTGAGAGCATCTTAATACATCCTATTGCCTGCTTTTCTATTTGCCTTTTTCACAGGGAACTGAAACTTAAGCATATCCAAAAAGGAATCATTTTTCATTCCTTATTGGAATGGCCTGGGGTGAATTTATGAATGTTCTAGGTAATTGTTCTTTCTTGAGCATTTTCATAGTTCATAGAGGTCACCAATACTACAAATACGTGTGAAATATAGCATTGAGATATGAAGCTAATCTTTTTCCTCTCTTTTTTCTCTTTTAGACGTATCAAGGTTTACAGAGTCTAGAAGAAGTCTGTGTATATCATTCTGGAGTACCTATTTTCCATGAAGGGTAACTTATACATGACTAATTAAAACTTGATGGTAGAGGTTAGAAAAATTAATATGCCTTTAAACATTATTTGCTATGCAGCATTATTAGGTATTTTACTCACATTGTCATATAATCTTTTCAATAACATAGAAATGTGGGTGTTGTCTTTTTTTTACACATGAGAAAACTAATACAAGTTTATAGTAAGTGGCCGTTGTAATTCAGACCTCATGTTTTTCCTCATTCCATTGTATTTCAGTGTGATAATCTTTCTATTGGAGCTGAATAGTTTTTTGTTTGAAAGACTATCGTGCGTATTGCAGGACATTCAGAATTTTTGGCCCTGGAGCACTAAGTAACCAACGTTGTGGCATCCAGGAAAACCCATACTTTTCCATAGCCCTCAATTGAGAGCTTCTTTTCTATATTATGCTGTAGTTTATGGAAATGCAGTACTGTGTTAAAATCTTCCATTCTTTCCATGTTCTTCAGGACTCAAACCCAAAGTTTTATTGTAATTTTGTCTTCCAGTGTTAGATTTTTCTCCAGCAAATAATAATGAGTTTCACCTACTTTGGGAATGACCATCACAGGTTGTGTAAACATTAGTTTTTAGTTCGTTTGCATGTTCTCAGTTTCCTGGGTTATTAAAATGTGAGGATTTTAAATCTGTCATATCGCTTTTTGGTAGCTTCATGAAGAAACTGGAATGTGAGCTATCAATGAAAAGCTGATTTGGAATTTTGTGATGGTTTTAAGCATCTTTACTCAGGAGCTCCAAAATCGCTATAATAAATGTCATTCTGGCTTTAAAATTTTTAGTCTTCTGATAGTTTTAACTGTTTAGTAGCTTAGGCACTTGTAAGATACTAAAGTTCCTTACTTATTGATTGATTTTCTTTTTAAATCACACTTGTCACTATAATACTTCTACACTTAATTGGTTGTGAGATTTTATTTCTGAAATTTTTCTATGATAAAGGATGAAATACTGGAGCTGTTGTAGAAGAAAAACTTCTGATTTTAATACATTCTTAGCCCAAGAAGGCTGTACAACAGGGAAACACATGTGGACTAAAAAGGATGCTGTAAGTAGCCTTTTTAAAATAACACATTAGGGTGTATTCATCTGAGTCATTTTTAAAAGATTTGAGATTATTCTGTGTTTAGATTAAAAAAGTTTTTATCTCCTTCACATAGTAAGGTTTTGTGTGTGTGTGTGCGCAGAGGATGAGCCTTGAGCTAACATCTGATACCAATCCTCCCCTTTTTTCTTGAGGAAGATTGGCCCTGAGCTAACATCTGTGGCCATCTTCCTCTGTTTTATATGGGACGCCGCCACAGCATGGCTTAACAAGCGGTGCATCAGCGCGCGCCCGGGATCCGAACCTGCGAACCACAGGCCGCTGCAGCCGAGCGCACGCACTTAACTGCTTGTGCCACCGGGCCAGCCCCCACACAGTGAGGTTTTGATGTGCTTAAAAAACTAAAATTAATCTGAGTCAAGCTCCCAGAGCACTGCCCTTTGATCAAAATAGCCATTGTGTTCATTGATGCAAGTATGTAGGTTTTTGTGAAATACTTAATTCTTCTCAATTGAAGCTTATTTTTCTGTAATTCTGTAGCCTGTTCCCACTTTTGTTTTTCAAAAATCACTTTTCTACTCGTTTGGTGTTAGTAATCATTTAGACTTGTGATTCTCTTCTTGCCACTTAAAACTTCATTCAGCCATTTACAGGTGCACAAGTAGTGGCCAAAGAGGAGGATTGCAGCCTTGTTTTGTTGGAATTATTTTGAATGCCTCTGCTTGCTACAGGGATATTTATCAGCAGAAAAAAGAAAGCATTGGTTCCTACTTCCTGGACAGCTTTTTAAAAAAAGTCTTGGGGCTATGCAAATAATTTCTCAAAATCCCAGTAAATTGTAAGAAGGCAATTTGTTGCTAAGTACGTGTTTGTTAGCTATTGTTAATGTATTTTATAATGTATTAAATTAGTTAATAACCCCAAGACAATGAACCTTTTCAGTATGTGTGTCTTTTAACTTACAAAATAATTATAAATTCTCAAATTGCTTTGGAGATTTATTTATTCTATATTAGAGTATTCTGTAGTTTCTACTTTTTAATAACACTTGGTTGGATATTATAAATATATCCCTCAAGTTATAATAATTCATCTACCACAACACTTTCAGGAATGTTTTATTAGCAAAAAGTGTGAAGTCTCCCTGTATTCTCTTCAAGGTCCAAAGTTTGGGGAAACAAAATGTTGTTTTCTATTATATGCAGAATGTTTCAGAGTATAACCCTTGATGAAGTAATGTTTTTGTTATTTTTTAATGCATACAGTTATCAAGCATTAAGAGTCTAAGCTAATAGCTTAGGGCAAAAAATGTAAGTGACATAAGTAATTTAAATTCAGTTAATATAGTGATATCAAAATGTAAATGCTGCTTTTTACAACAGTAAAAGTGTCTCAGAGTTTCCTGCTTCATGTGACTAAATTACCTTCATTTATAAAAATATCATAATATGTCCCTTTTACTTATTGATATAGCAGTGTCCCACTAGTAGGTAATAATTATTTCCATTATAGTAATCAGGATTACTTCCACAAATTTCCACTTTTTTCTGCATGTTATTATGAGAGGAAAATAATTATTCAATAACAATAGCAGGTAGCTATAAGTAGTCAATTATTTTTTCCCAAATTCCAATTTGTAGAAAATAAATGGAAGGTTCCTCTGCATGAGGGTAAGATGTTGTATGGTTTACCCCACTAAGCACTGTCTTCTCACTTTAGTCTTCAAAGAATGTTTTATGACTGACTGAGTGGATTGCAGAATGTTAAAATTGGATATAGTAGGAGTTCTTAAATTGTCTTGTTCAACATATATTAATGTTGTGTTCCTAGAAGAACAATATCAAATGGAAGAAATAAGCGTATTCTCAAATCATAAAACCATAAAGATTCTTTGTATCATGATATATTTAATTGTTTAAACTTCTTGATGGGAACTTTAGAATTTGTTTGTCCTTAGAAACATTAAGGGCTTAGTTGCACATGGTCATTTTTTCTCAATTGGATAGGTCAGCTTCCTCTTTTTTAAGAAGTTAGTTATATGGCATTTGGTAAATTCATAGAGTTTCTCTTATGTTACAGGGCAAAAAAGTTGTTCCATGTAGACATGACTGGCATCAGACTGGAGGTGAAGTCACCATTTCAGTATATGCTAAAAATTCACTTCCAGAACTTAGTCAAGTAGTAGCAAATAGTACTGTGGTAAGTACACTAAATATCTTTGAGTAGAAGTTGTCTTTATACATTATTCTTTATGTTATTGTATTATAAAGTATTGTTCTTGTTTGAGCTGATTTTAAGATCTTTAAATCTTTCTCATTTGAAAAATAGTTTGAAATTACTTTCACAGAAACTATTATAAATGAAAATTTCTGTATCATAGTTATTGCTGAAGCATTTTGGAGATACTAAGGTAGCTTAGATTTATCAGATAATATGGTACTTAGTTCTTAGTGTGAAACTTCAAGTTAATTTTTCTTTTCAGTTAACGGTTTTTTCAAATAAAAAATACAATACTGGCAGATTTGTAAAATAGCTTAAATGATTTTTATCGATATCTTCATGTTTTTGTAATCATTGTTTTATGTCATAATACCTTCAGTTTGGATCTGATCAATCAACTTTCTATATCTTTTTCAGTTAAATGTGCACATTGTATTTGAAGGAGAGAAAGAATTTCATCAAAACGTGAAATTATGGGGTGTAAGTATTAGGAATCCAGCAGAATTATTTTTTTTATAATTTAAAATGCCATTTGTACAATAAAAAAACAGTACTTTAGTAAACTTTGTCGCAAAGTAGATCTATAACTTACCACTAATCCTTACCAAAAAAATTAAATCTAGGTATACTAAGTGAGAGGCTTAGATTTTTGGTTATTAGCATAGACGAGACCAATAGTTTCCTCTAAGACTAATGAAACCTCCTAGGTTGAGTGTAACTCTCTGTGATATGTTGCAGGTGATTGATGTAAAGCGAAGCTATGTAACTATGACTGCAACCAAGATTGAGATCACCATGAGAAAAGCTGAACCTATGCAGTGGGCAAGCCTTGAACTGCCTGCAGCCAAAAAGCAGGAAAAACAAAAAGAAGATATAACAGAATGAGTTGAGAGGGGAAAAAAAGTTATTGTCTATTCCAGAGTTCTTAATATGTGGTGAAGTGGTGGCTTGCTGCTGTAATGTTTTGTTTTGTTGATGTTGATGTTGAATCTGGCATTTCAGGGTCAACAGTAGGTTCTTAAAAGCCAAAGTCAGTTTATCTTTTTGTGCCTCCCATCTTCCTTTTGAGTTACCTAAGATTGATTATTCATTTCTCCTCACTCATAGAACTGTAGTTGTGTCCTGTACTTGAAGAAGCTAGAAACCAGCTCATAAACAGTTACAGTATTTTTTAATGTAATATTATGTTAAGCAGAGAAATAAAAAGGAACATTTGTTCACATCTCTATTATCCCATAATTAGTAAAGCAAGATGGAATGTCAAATTTTTAATTAGTTTTTTCATGAGTTTGTGTTCCTATAATACTTGAAAATCTTTAAGGAAGAGTTGGAGCTCTGCATTGTTCTTTCCACTAGGGACAGTTACTTTTTCTAGGAGGGTTAATTCTGAGGTAGTGTAGTAAGCAGTTAAAGGAGAATGTATGCATTGATTAACAAATTAGAATTTGTTTACAACTAATTGAATTTTAAATTAGATAAGCACCTATGTTACTTGCCAAACAATATGATTTAAGAGTATAGGAAACATAAAGAAGAGTATAGTGGTATCAATTTGGTTAAAATTCACCATTTTCTATGACTTAAGCAATAATGTTGAACGTCTCTTTCCTGATTATTTATGGGATCTTTGTATGGTGTTATGACTAAATTTATAGTCATAAATTTAGGCTGATTTGTAGCCTACATCCTCTTAAAATCTTGAATTAGATACATATAAAGAGAAATTATATCTGGCCTCCCTGGTATCTATAAAATTATAGGCTTAAAGGCTTCTGGAAATACATTAGGGTATCAGAAAACTAAATATTAAAGCTTTGCTTTATGACAACTATTACATGTTAAATAAAATAGCTTAATTCTTTTGGAGGTTTTTTTCTTAGACTTTCATGAACAGCTTGATAATTCTAGGTGATACAGTGTTGATAATATATTGTGCTTTATTAAATGTAGGTATCACACAATTAGATTGTTTGTGCTAATTGAACCCATTTCAGGATAAGTTACTTTTTGAGGCAGTGCAGAGCTCATGAAGAAAACTAAAATCAAGAAGTTATGAAGGCCAAAACAGGCAGAACTTAATAAGTTTGGGTATGAATTTATGCTTATATAGATTAAAATGATTATTTTCCAAGCCCCTTGAGTGTTTTTCTTTTCTTGGTATTGATGGAATTTCGTATAAAGAAAAATTTGCAGAAATACAATTTTAGGTGATAAAGAGTTAGTATATCTCATTGTACTACCCTTAGCAAATAACTGTTACATACAGTTATGTAATTATTAAATGGTTTAGCTCTGTTACCAATAAAAATGTAAAAAATCTGGCAATCAGGCTTTCATGACACTAAAATACCATGGCAAGAAATTTTTGGCAGTAAATATTGGACCCAGATAGTTTCTAGTACTTGGGATTGTATTTAAATTGTTAAAAGTTATCTTTTACAATTTTAGGAACCTGGGTTTATTTGGAGACATGAAATTTTGTTTATTGTTTAGGGGAGAGGTTGATTCTCAATTTCATTTGAGGTTAACGGTTAACCCTTTTTTGATGTTTACTTCTTGAGGCTGTTTTGCCCTAAACAATATCTTCATGTATTATGTGCAACTGAGCTATTGTGTAAAAGTAAGTGGATTATTCACCTGTTAGTTGCAAAGCACTGACTTTTGTGTTTTTTGTTTGTTTTTTGATACAGCGTATGTATTTAGTCTGGTTATACTAGTGACCATTCTATTTCCTTACTTATTCCTATGAACCTCTGAATTTGTTGCCCAGATAAAAATCTAAATATCTTAGACTCATACATAAAGGGACACAGTTAGAATTAGGCAGATTATATTTTACTTTATCAATCTGTCAAAAAAATAAAAAATGTTAACTTGAAGTTGTTTCTCTAGAAATATGCTTTGTCTTTCTCAGCATTCAAAGTAATTAGTATAGCAAAGCAGTCAAATCTGGTAACTAATCTGACAGCTAAACTCAACATGGGGAACATACAGTTCTGTTTTTCTTGCCTAGCACATTTGTTGGTATAAAGGAAGTAACGTCCTAAGAAGTTGAGCTTTTATTATTATTTTTAACCTCTTATTTTGCGATAATTTTAGATTTACAGAAAAGTTGCAAGAAAGGTACAGAGTTCTTTATATCCTATATTAATCTTCCACTTAACGTTAAAATCTTACTTAACCGTAGAACTTTTCCAAGACTAAAAATTAGCCTTCGTACAATACTGTTGACTAAAGTAGAACATAAGTTTTGACCATCTGTTTTTAGTGGAACACTATTAAAGGGTAGTTCTTGAGACTTATCCTAGTTTTTTGTAATTTAAGCCAATAATTGATAACCCATTAAAAATATAAATTGAGGGGCCGGTCCAGGGGGGTAGTGGTTAAATGCGTGTACTCCGCTTCAGCGGCCCGAGGGTTCGCAGGTTCGAATCCTGGGCGTGCATTGACGCACCATTTGTCAAGCCGTGCTGTGGTGGCGTTCTGTATAAAGTAGAGGAAGATGGGCACGGATGTTAGCCCAGGGCCAATCTTCCTCGGCAAAAAGAGGAGGATTGGCATCAGATGTTAACTCAGGGCTGATCTTCCTCACAAAAAAAAAAAGAAAAAAATAAATTGAAATCAACTTACCATAGACATATGCTTACAGATCCATGATGTAACTTTTTGTTGTAACCATATACTGGCAAAGGACTGTAATGATCCATTTTATTATATTTCATGTTGGAGATTTTAATTCTTATTAGGTATGACTTGTTTTGTGTGGTTTTCTTTAGACAATTCTTCAACCATGTAAGGGTGAAAAGAACCTTAAAGAGTTCTTGCAGATATTTTAAGGTAACTTTGAGTTATTGCTCTGCAACCCTTTGGTTTTTTAAAAAATGCAGTCATTCCCTAGCCTGAAAATGCATGTTATGCATACACCAACCATAAATAAATTTTTAAAATCTCGTTTATGAGGTCCAGTGTCAGTTTTAGGGTGTTTGGGTATGTACTCTGTAATTTTTTTTAACAGCTAGGTACTTATAAGTTGTTAGAATAGTAACAGGTTTATTTTGTTGCAAATTATTTTGATCTGGCATTCATATTTGGTGTTTATTTTGATTCTTAAGCCTGTATCATAATTCCATGGCCTCAGTTCTGAAATGCAAACTAAGTCTGGTTTGTTTTGTTAATAGGTGTTTGTTTTCATTTCTTTTGATTGTTGGTTTGTTGGGTAGGTAGGAAGTTATTTTTTTTACCTGATTGCTTCTTTACTGCCCAAGAATCTTACAAGTTAAACTCATCTGGAGTTGTTGCATGGCTTGCCTTGTTAAGTCAGTTGTAGATGCCTGGGGTTTCATGCACGTGGTATTATCTCTAAAATACTGGGCTTGCAAAGTTTTTATTCTGCAAAGTTATTGTTTGATTTTAAGTTTTTATATAGGTCTTAGTTGTGAAGAATTCCTTCAAGAACAGTTTTTCTAAAGAACATTTTTATTAAATGCTAAATGACTTTTCTTAGGTTTCCAATTTAGTAGATCACCCTTAATGTCCATTAAAGTCAAATAAAACTTCCAGCCTTAAATGTTTTTATGTTGCTTAAAGATTATGTATCCAAATAATTTAATTTGCCATTTCTTTTTGACTAAGCAGATATCCTGTCCAAATGATTGGATTGTTAAATTATGTTTTTGTTTTTGGTGAGGAAGATTATCCCTGAGCCAACATCTGTTGCCAATCTTCTTTTTACTTGCGGAAGATTGTCTCTGAGCTAACGTCTGTGCCAGTCCTGCTCCACCCTGTATATGGGACACTGCCACAGCATGGCTTGAGCTGTGTGTGGGTCCGTGCCTGGGATCTGAATCCGCGAACCCTGGGCCGGTGAAGCAGAATGTGCAGACTTAACCACTGCGCCACAGGGCCGCCCCCAAATTACGTTTTTTAAGACTTTGCTAATTGCAGTAAGATTACTGATTAAGCCTAGACGAGGGAGACCTCCCTGAACCTGGAGTACTTTCCCCTCCTCCTCCAAAAATGAGACTAGATGAGCGTATTAATGTGTTTTAAAGCACTGTGATTCTTTCCTTCATAATGCTTATTTAGGTTTGCAGTTCCATGTTTATTCGTATTTTATTTTTATGATTACTTTGTTAATGTCTGTATCTTCTTGTAGACTGAATTTTTATAACCTTGACTGTTTATGTTTTGGCCAGCCATTGTATCCTCATTTTCTAGTACAGCCCTTGGCATATTGGTTGGTTCTTGTAAATATCCAGACATATAGCACTTGTTATGGGCCAGTCACTCTTCTAAGGGCTTTAATGAATTTGAAATTAATCGCAACAACCCTATGAGGTAGGTTCTATTATTATATTATAGGCAAGGAAACTGATTTTTGTCACAGGTTAAGTAACTTACCCAAAGTCAAAACTAGTGAGTTGTGGAGAAGAGATTTCAAACTCTGGCACCCTCGATTTGCGTTCTGTGCTCTTTACTATTGTATGCTGCATATGTCAGTTGAATTAATAGGTTCCGTAAAACATTGGCACGTAGCTTGGAAAACTAGTAACACTGTATTTGGTCACCAGGAACAAATTTTTAGTTTCATATGTTTTGTTAGGAAATAAATTTATAAAATGAAATATGTAGTCCTTTTGCCTGGATGGTTTTCTTTATAATAGCGGGATTAAAAACTTGTCATTTGTGATTTGACAACTCTTAGAGTCTCTAGTTTCTCTAAACAGCCTCCAAAGAAGTTTCAGAATCATCAGTTCAAAAAAAAAGTTTCCATTGCCATTTTGTTAGTGATATGTATCTTGTATGTAGGAATTTATATTTGTGTGTTAGATAAAGTGTGATGAAACAGCATCAAACTTATATTTGTTTTCCCCATTAATATGAGACCTCGTTAAAGCAATTGTATAATTTAGAGTGTCTGCAACATAAGATACTTTCATAAGAAAGAGAGATAAGCTTGTAAACATAGGACAGGTAGCAAAGGGTCATTTGAAGTTTTGGCTTTCACCTTCTAGGCCAGGCCAGTGGTTATCAAAATAGCGTTTCTAGACCAGCAGGATCAACATCACGGAATTTGTTGGAAATGCAGATTCCTAGTCTTCAACCTCAGAGTTATGAAATCAGAAACTCTGGGAGTGGCGCCCAAAAATTTGCAGAATTATTTTTGTTTTGTTCTGGCATACAATAAAGTTTGAAAAACACTAGCAGCATGGATGTCTGATTAGGCTTGCATTTTTTTTCCTTTTATTAATAATCTTAATTTTTTTTAAATTCACTTTTTGTTTTAGAATAGTTTTGCATTTAAAGAAAAATTGTAAAGATAGTATAGAGAGTTCTCACATATTCCACACCCAATTTCCCTTATTTATATTTTACATCAGTATGGTACATTTGTTAGAATTAATGAACCGATATTGATACATTGTTATTAACTAAAGTCCATACTTTGTTTAGATTTTCTTAGTTTTTACCCAAGGTCTTTTTTCTGTTTTAGGATCCCACCTAGGATACCACATTACATTTAGTCATCGTGTGTTCTTTGGGCTGCTCTTGGTTTTGGCGGTTTCTTAGACTTTCTTCAAAACCCTGTCAGTTTCAAGGAATACTGGTCAGGTGTTCTGTAGAATGTCCCTGCATTGGGATTTGTCTGGTGTTTTTCTTATGATTAAAGTTATGTGTCTTGAGAAAGAAAACCATACAGGTAAAGTGCCATTCTCATTGGTGTATCAAGGGTACATATTCTCAACGTGACTTATCATTTTGATTACCTGGCAATGGTCGTGTCTGTCAGTTTTTTGACTGTAAAATTACTCCTTTCCCCCCTTTCCATCCTTCTTTAGAAGGGAGTCACTGTGTATAGCCAACACTTAAAAAGGAGTGGGGAGATATGTTCCACCTCTTGAGGGCAGAGTATCTACATAAATTGTTTACAATTTTTGTGCATGGGAGATTTGTCTCTCCTGATTTATTTATTTACTTATTTAATAATCAGTATGGACTCTATTTTATAGTTTGAGTTGTAATCCAATATTATTTCATTTTGTTTCTCAAATTGTTCCAGCTTTGGTTATTGTGGCCTTTCAGTTGGCTTCTGTGTTCCTTTATCATACCCTTGTCCTGTCATGGTGGGTTTGTTTTTGGTTTTTTGCTGTTTGTTTTATTTTAGCACTTTCTTACTTTCTGGCACTTCAGGATGCTCCAGTGAGCCATTTCTCCAAGGATCCATGGTTGTTTTTATTGGAGAATGGTATTAGAAACCAGCATCTGGATATTAGATATACTCATTGCTGCT